GTATATATATATATATATATATATATATATATATATATATATATATATATATATATATATATATATATATATATATATATATATATATATATATATATATATATATATATATATATATATATATATATATAATAATAATAATAATAATAATAATAATAATAATAATAATAATAATATATATATATATTTTTTTTTTGTTATAATTGTTTTATAATAATAAAAATAAAAAAAAATTCAGATGTCTGCTAATTATAGTATCATTGAAAAAATGATATTGAAATTAATATTAATTAATTTTAGATTTTTTTAACAAGTAAAGAATAAAAATAAAAAAATTTTTCAGATGTCTGCTGATTTAAATATAATTAAAAATAAAATGAATACTAACCACAAGCCCACATGCAATGCCGACGTTTTTCAATGACATTTCACTGTGCTTACTGATGATATCATTCATAGTAATAGTACTGAATGCATACGAGTTGTACAAAGAAAGCGAACTGTTTTTAGGATAATGAGTGTGCTGCTGTAATTTTTTAACAGTGTTAAAAAAAGCGCGCTGCCAGGATTCCAACACCTGGGAAGCTTTCTCCTGGGTCCAGCCGATGTTGTGGGTCTTGTAGTCCTCAGTTAATGAATCATACAGCTCGCGCTCGGACATCAACTGTATGACAGTTTGCAATGCAGCGGCGTGCATCAAGTGTCCAGTCCTGTTGCGTTTAGCACCACCGATCAAGAGCGCCTCGGGCCAGTGCATAAATTTAGTCGCGAACCCGTGACAGCCACCGGTTAATTCTCCTGCGACGTCCAGCGGTTGCCGGGATTTTTTATTCGGAGCCGTCTCGGGGCAATGTGGATCCGTGGGGTCCAAGCAAGGCTTCGTTTGATACGCATTCGTTATTCCAGCCCTCTTCATGTACTCTTCAAGTATGTAAAACGGAAACCCCGCTATCATTGTCTCGTTGGTGTTTTTCATGTACTCTACTACCTTCAAAGGATCCAAATTTATCCACTTATATCTGTGGGCTGGAAGAAATCTATATATAAAATAAAATAAAATAAGTAAGTATGCATTTAAATATCCTCCATATTGCTTATCTATATTATTAAGAGAGTAAGAAAAATTTTGTTTCCAATATAGTCTAGTCCAAGTCATATGATCGTTTTTTTTAGTGAAATTTAGTGTCAGTGCATAATTGAGAAATAAACTTTTATCTCATGAAATATTGACATTTTTAAAGATATAAGCTCATCCCGATGTTACACCCATCGAGACCTTTCATTTGAGTAGCCACATCAATTTTTCATATATTTATATATATTATATATATATATATATATATATGAATATATGAAAAATATATAAAAAGTCATATGGATACTCAAATGAAAGCTCTTGATGAATGTAACATCGAGATGAGCTTATTTCTTAGAAAATGTCAAAAATTAAGGACTCACTTTACTATCTTGTCAACAAATGATATCTTTGAAGATATAAGCTCATCCCGATGTTATACTCATCAAGACCTTTCATTTGAGTACCCACATGCATTTTTGATATATTTTTCATATATATGTATATGTAATATATATATATATATATATATAAATATATGAAAAATTGATGTGGGTACTCAAATGAAAGATCTCGATGAATGTAACATCAGGATGAGCTTATATCTTTAAAAACGTCAATAGTTAA